AGAAAATAACAAAAATAATGAACAACCATATACCAGAGACATTTTGTGGGGGTGGAGTGGGGAATGGGATCAAAAACGGGGGGGAGGGGGAATGCATGAGATTATGGTGATGGCACACCGGTGACTTGGTGATGGGAAACCTGTGGGGATTACAATTGAGATGGAAAAAATAATGTACAAAATGATGTAAAAATAAACTTTTGTAATTTAAAAAAAAATGACATGAGCAAAACATTTCACTCTCCTATTACAGTTTTTTAAGTTGTCTAGAGTGGAATCTGTTCCAGTGCATATCCTGTCAAGTGGGTATGAATGTAGACTAGATCCTTACATTGAGTGAGAATTAGGATGGTGATCCCTGTGACCCATGCTGTGAGGTATAACCTCACATTTTTTTGGCTTAGATAACTACTGGGCATGCCACTGTCAAATATAATGTGTGCTCATGGTATAAGATTTGCTTGGTTTTAATTATCTCCCTTTCTTTCTTTTAAAATAGACTCTGTCACGAAGAATTTCCAATCCATACCTCGAACATACTTCTTCCCAGGTACGATTCTTTTCTCATTGCATTATCTGAAGTAATGATTCATTACTCATGGTATAGAAATTTCTAGTTATAGCTGTTTCCTTTGTTCCTGATCACATGTTTCCTTCACTGGGGATGACACAGCCAAAGGTGTTTGAGATACTCTGGTAATTATGTCATGGTTCATGTTATTCCCTAGGCAGAAAAAAAAATTCCCCTCTTTTAGGTACTTTACATGAATGTATTATAAGTATGGAAGAGTTAACATATAATAAAGTTTTTGATTTTAGAAACACTATGTTTTAAACATAGTGGATATTTTTCACTGAAAACTTTGGTAGAAAGGATTATTAGTATTTACTGTTATCTGATAGTGGAATATCTCTATATGCTCATTGTTAAGAAAAGATGAGGATGGCTTTACTGTATTGTGTTAACAAATCAGGCAATAAAGAATGGCATGTTTTAGAGTAACAGCAGGCTATGAGCTTTATTTGCAGGCTTGTTCAGCCTTGCTCTCTACTGTACCCCAGCATCTAGAATAAGTAGCCTGATAGCTGCTTATTAAGTGTTTTTTGAATGACTGAATGGTTGAACTAGGTACCCTGTCAGAATTAAGTATCAGCAGGCTTGTGTCACAGTAAATTTGCTGTCCTTTCACTTGTTCAAGTGTTTTTAAAATAATAGTTTTGACATGTTAAAAGTAAAACATTTCCTCCATTTCTCTTTTCCATCAAATTGTGTTTAGGGGATAATAACAAGAAAATTAAAGAAGTGAGAATGGGACTGAAATATTCCCTGTCTAGTCACAGTCAACAGTACCAATTTGTTTGCTTTGACAGAAGATAAACTATTTTAGTTACAAATAGAATTAACCCAGAAAGAAGTAAACAGAAATAAGCATGCACCCCTGCACCATAAAATGTTCATGAGCCTTTACATATGAAAACAACTTGCTTTCATTTAGCCTCCTTTGTTTGCAAAGCAACAATGCACTGAAGAGGAAGGAGCTAGTTAGAGGGAAAATAGGTAGTATATAAAGTAGATCATAGACTTCTCAGAGCTAAAGTGAACCTTCCATCATCTTCCAAGAATCAAAGATTCATGAACAAATTAGAAGATTAAAAAGAGAAGTTAAATGAAATTTTTACCTGCTACATGGAGTCAGGAAAGTAGATTAATCAGAATGCTTGGAATTAAGTATGAGCTCTGCTGTTGAGTAAGGCAAAGCAGGTAGCAGCCTACTATCAAATTGTCATGATATTCACTAGACAGGAAAAATTATTTTCCCATCTTCCTAGACCCTTACATGAATGTATTAAAAGTATCACAGTTAATACATAGAATAAATGTTCTTCAGTTTTCTGTGTTGATAGAAATAGTCTATCTTAAAAAAAAAGAAAAGAGAAGAAAAGAAAACAGTGGCTATTCTACCCTGACAAGTGTATAAAAGGAGGTCATTTATTGTTCAAGCAGTTTGGCATTTGAAAAATAGTTATCATAATTTAATAGCATTCATGGACCAATAACAAAAACAAGATATATAGTTGTGTGTAGCTTTGTAGGCTAAAATGATAATTTTGTAAGCTCAGGTTCTAAATTTTTACATATAATCTTGGCAGGTCACAAATTGTCACCTTGATGTTCTAAATTTACAGCAATTGTTTGTCTTTTCCATTTAGATTTATGGAGAGAATTCCTCTTGTGCAGGAAGAGCATTGAGGAATATTATTATTGTTCAGGCAGCTGACCTGATAAAGGACAGAGTGAACCTCAAGGGATTTTACAGGTAACACAGTTTTCTAACACCTTGTCAAAAATTCTCCTTGTAGAGAAAAAAAAATGTTAAAATCATAACCTTGAACACAGAGAGGTGGGCTATATTGGTAGTAGGAGGGGGGTGTTTGTTTAGAAGCATCTGTTTGGGGTACAGGGCACCGACAGTGACTTCTCTCTTTTCTAAATTTAATCCAATGCTCAATGATAATTGCAGTCCTGGTTCTGAATCAGGTTATGGAACCCCCTGGCACAAGTGAGCTCGGGATCCTGGGAGAGTCTCTGGGTTGCTTTCCCTGAGATGATATGTTACAATATTTTTACTGAGTGTGCTGCACTGGGATTGCAAGAAATATTTGTTCTCTCATCAGGGACCTTAATCAAGGCTCTGTGAGGGCTGTTAGGCAACCAGGGGAGAAGACACTCTACCTTTACTCCCAAATGCAAGTCTTTCAGCCTCTTGCTGCTGTGAGGAAGAGTGTGGGTGGGCACGGTAGGGATGGGCCTGCTTAGGCTAGTGAAGACAGAGGAGTAAGTGTGTGGGTTCGAGGTCAATTTTAAAGCACAAGTGGACTGAGTGTTCACTTAGGAAGTCTGAAGCTCGTGCTTTCATTTCATTGAGTAGTTTAAAGAAAAAAACAAAAGTGCATTTTCAGCTCTTCATTTTTCTAACGAAGGATTTTAAACCACATCCAACAAAATTAAAAGAAGATTATAATAGTAAAGAGTAAAACTCCTACCATTTATTATCATTATTTTCTCACAGAAATGAGATTGTCATACCATAAAGAATAGGAAGAGTACTCAGAATAAATGACACCAAAAAAGTAAGAATGAATCCCTAAGTAAAGGGTTTTTCTTTAAGTTACTAAATTTAGCTCTATCAGTAACTCATTACACTATTCCTGTTTTTTCCATTGGCCACAGGTGGGAAATATTTCAGCATGGCCTATTTTTGGGGGATAATGGTTCCCAACCTAGCTGTGTGAGAAGACTCTCTTTATTGAGACTTAATTTACATGCAGTTAAATGTACAATTTTTAAGGTACAGCTTGATGAATTTCAGTTATTTTACATACCTGTGTAAATATCATCCATATCAAATTTTAGAGATTTTTCACACCCAGAAGTTTCCTTCATGTTCCTTCAAGTCAGTAATTGTTCTGTGCCACTAATCTTACATTCAGCCTCTTGACAAATCTGTATCCTTAGGTACCATTGAGCCATCACATATTGGGATTGGGAGAACTGCAATGAATTAGTAATTGTAAAATCCCATGTTTAATTATGTACATATCTACAAATGTGCACATGTTTTTGTGTATATGGACTAGTGAAGCTCTTGAAATAGCTTCAAGTTCACTCCTTCCTTTCATGATAATCCATAGCCAAGGTCTGAGAACCCTATGTTTCCAGGTCAGGCTAAAGAGACAAGACAGGTAGGAAAAGAGGCTTGTGATAAGTTGGACAACTTCCGACTTCACAGAGAACCTTTTTTTTTTTTTTCCCAGTTGTTGGCGATCTCAACTTTAGACATGTCTGATTTACCCCTTCTTTGTAATTTTTTTAAACTAAGTATTTTAATTGAGCCCCTTTGTTCCCCCTTTTAAACTAAAACGTGTATGTATAAGTCTTTGGGTCTTGTGAGCAGGCTCATAGTATTAATTTTTGCCACCACATAAAATTATGTTTAAGATCTGTCATTCTCCATTTTGTTTCTTTATAAGGTTTCCATGGTAATAGATTGGAAGAGAACTGGGAGATTAATCAGGTTCATGCAGAAGAACCATCCATCCAAGTCAGAACACAGTCAGGGTGTAAGGGGAGTAGAATGGGAAGGGAATGTGTGTTTTGTTATCTCCTATTTTGATCAGGCCAGAACCTCCTTTTATCATCTAAGGGTTGATATAATGATGTGATATAATGATTGCCTAACAGGGATCATTTTTATTTGTCTGGTCATAAATTGAGGTAAGTTGTCCCACATGAGAATTACTTTCAGTAACATTGTGAAATGTTTTCTACTCACATTTTGTACTGTAGGGAAAATCACACTGGTTTCTGAAACTTCAAATAAGTCTCAAAATAACATGACTACATTTATATTTGAGATTAAGGTTCTGCCTGTGCTACCATGAATTAATTGCTAACAACATTAATGGGTAACAGGAGGAAGCCTAGAGAAAGCAAATTTACAGTTCCCAAAATTGGTTAAATTATGTTTTGTTATAAGCAACTACATTGGCCTTGTAACTGATCACAGTGTTCCTACCTAGTATTGCAACTGTAGTTAGAGCTACATGTACTTGCAACAGTTTCTGGATTCAGTATGAGACTGAAAATAAACTGGAGAAAAAAATTTCTGTCATTGTTCAGTGTTCCCTCCCCACCACTGCTTTTCTTCTTCACTGCTCTCCCCTAAAGCATGTAGATTTACCTATATTAACAGGATTCTTTCAGACCTACCTTGTGAACAGGTCAGGGGAGTATGTGTTAGTGGCAAAGTCAGCTCACCTCACTTTGTTTGCTTTTGGTGATATTACTGACAGAGTTGATCCTTACCCTTAAAGGTATTTTCCCTGGTGTAGATGGATTATTGAAAGCAACTTGAAGCATAACTTGATAAAGTTGGGAATAGAAAGGGATCTTACACAAAAGACATGAGAATAGAAAAGCCTAATTATTAACCATTATTGTCAAGGTGATTAACTAATGTTGCCAAGGCAATATGTGTTTTAACATATTGACTCAACCCTATCCCCAAAATAGACTGAGCCCTTTCCAATTAAATGTAGAGCTGGGGCTAGGTTAGGGCTTATGGTTGCCAGCATCACCAGGGAGCCAGTTAGAAATGAGACTCTCAGATTCCACACAGCCATGCTGCATCAGAATGTGCAGTTGACAAGGTCCCCTAAGTGACTCCTCAATACAATTTTGAGAAGCCCTGGTCTATAACATTCCTCCCCATCCACTATGAACACCAAACATTTGCTTCTGTCTAGCTATCTCTTGCAGTTTGGCAGTTTGGTAAATATCTGGTTCTGTCTGCTCAGATACTCAGACTAGGCTGAGGAGCTATACTGTTCTGAGAATAAGGACTCAGATGATACAGTGTTTACTCCATGCTTTATAAGCCCAAAGATACTGGCTAATTGACAAAGGTGTTGAGGAATTTAATTTACACTTTGAGCCTTTAACATGAAAGGTGTCCTATAGAATTAGTGACTGTTTAGACTAATTGCCTGTTTTGTTGCAACACTTTCTCATTTTGTTTCAAAAAACTTCCATTTATTTGACTGTTAGTCTTTCTAGTGTTTTAATGTTAACATGCTGCTGAACATGTCTGATATTGGCCTAATTGCCTTAGAGTATCTTTCATATAGTGATGTTTTGCTACAAAAAGTAATGCTTTAGAGCCTCTCTGGTAGCACAAGGGGTTAAACACAGCACTACAAAGGTATCCACAGCCACTGCAGCATGAGTTCCATATCCAGCCAGGGAGCTGACCCACCTGGAGTAGAAGACCTCTTGTCTTGCCCGCTGCTCCCCTCATTAGTGTACTTCGTTAGTATGCCTGGTGTGTTCCCCACTTTGCCTCTGTGAACACACACACACACACACACACACACACCCTGCATCTCTGTCCTGTGCCCAGTTCTTACATGCATAAATAAATAAATCTTTAAAAAAAAGTAATTCTTTATCAATAGCTGTAATATATCACTGCCTTTTTATTCCCTTCAACTCAAAAATGTAACATCTCATGGCATTTCTTCATACTGTTAGTAACTCTGATTTTTAGGTCTATTTGCAACTGTGTCAATCATAAGAGGGAAATAGGCAATATTTTTCTATGTTAGGAATAAAAATGTTGACATCTTTTTGTCCTTAAATACCAAATATAGAATAAAGATAGCCATTTGTATGATAATATAAACATTTTGGTGACGTGTCATAAAGGAGAGTGAATTGGATTCAATGAAATTTCTCAAATATAAAAAAAAATTAGAAATTTCTTTTTTTTTTTCCATCTGAAACTGATAAAGAGGGAAAAGTAGGCATAAAGATAACTGCTTGAATGATCAGGCTCCAGCATTCTTTGAATACATTGTGACTTTAAAGACACAGAGAAGACCTTGTGTTTGGTTAGATGGATCTGTCACACACTTCTGGATTCATGGATTTCTGGGCTAAGCCACTTAACTAGATTATTTGCATTATATTAAAAAGACTACCAATCAGATTCATTCTTTGAGATAAATTTAAGATTTTAATCTCTAAAAGAGTAGCAAATAAAACCCTATAACCACTGACTGGTTCTAACTTTGTCTAATCTTCTTGGAAACATTTTGTTTTTAAAGAGAGGAGAGAAATCAACAAATGGTTGTACAAAAGTTTCTCACCGCCGACTTGAAGAAACTGTCTTATCAAGGCAGAAGCATTATCTCTATATAAAGAACTGCTATTATTTTTAGAACTTACTGTGTACTATGAACAGTTCTACTTGTCTGAAGTCTTGTTCTTATTTTCAAATGAGGAAAATATCTGTTATTTATTCAGAATGGTGTATAATTACTAAATGTTGGGTGTTTTGAAGAAAAAGTATAAGATAATTTGACTAAATTCCCCTAAGGAAGTGGTATTTGAGCTGAAATTTGAAAGATGAAAAGGAGGTATATTTCCCTTATTCTTGAGTTTTTTTTTTCTTAAAGCAAGTGTATGAAAGACATGGTATTAAATATCAATTTTTTGGCATATGAGTGCAACGTTGTCTTACTGTGAATGGCTTTGCTTTTGTGCAGGAAAAGCTGCGTTGGGTCAGAACTGGTGGACTGGCTTCTAGAACACTGTCCTTTTGTTCAGTGTAGATCTATGGCCATTGGTGTATGGCAGCTCCTGTTGGATATGGGAATTATATCATCAGGTTAGTACTATAGATTTAAAGGCATAGAATCATTATGAAATTATCAAACCAAAATGTACTTGATTTTTTTGGAAAGAATATTAGCAATATGGATGGAAATAGTTTTGGAGGTAAATATTTACATTCTATTTTATTTAAAAAATAATGACAGGTTGTCTTTTGACTTTGTTTCTTCCACACCTTTTCTAGAACACTATTAGGTGCTTGCTGATTCATAGACTATGACCCTACAAGAGTCTTTTCCATACCCCTTCCCTTCTCTACTCAAAATGCTGCTACACAAGTTTTATAACAAATCAGTGATATCTTTAGTTGCTCTAAATGTGTGACTTATCATTCTGTACTTAGAATAATCATTAGACATGATTTTATGAGTGGTATGTGTATGCCATTTTAATTGAGTAAGTAATCATGAACAGTTACATATGTGACCTTTGAAATGTAGCTATCTAAACAGGACAGAAAATAGGTGTTAACTAGAAACTAAAATAGTTAGTTTCTTAGCTGAACCCAAGGAATAAAAAGGAAGCAATCTGGACTCTATTTAGTTGTATTAGGTGCTTTCTGGATACTTGGAAGGCCCTTTTTTCTATATGTAATACACACTAAGAACCATGGAACACAGTAAGGTTCAGAAAGCCATACCTCAAGTCTGATTGTGAAACAGTGGTAGGATTATGGGTGTGATATTAATGAGTGTCAGACATTAGCACCTGATAACTCTTATTTAGAAAAGTACTACATTTGAGTAATATTATTATCTACTTGTTTGCATGGTTCAGCCTCCTGTTTAAAGTTTTTAAGTCTTTAGTCCTATGTTCCTTTGAAATTGGGTTCCCCCATTGCTGATACTGATATTTTGGACTGGTGAGTTCTTAGTTGTAGGCATCTATCCTGTACTTTATAGGATATTTAGCAGCAACTCTTCTACTTACAGGATGCCAGTAGCACCCCCTAGTTGTAGCAATAAAAATGCTTCCAGACATTGTCAATTGTTTCTTGGGCATAAAGTCACCCCCCACTTGGGAATCACTTACCATCAACTTATATATTTTGTACCACTCAATTATTTTGGTGTATTAGTTTGCGTTGAGCCACTAAAGACTTTCCCTCTCTGCCACCACTCCCTTTGAATTGGTATTGATTTCATCTATCTCTGAAGCAGAAAAATTATAAAATATATGCAAATATGCTGACCAAGCTTCAAGTTAAGTAAAACTAGATTTTTCAATAAGTCCCTTTTTATTCAATTGTAAACATCGATGAGCTTAGCATGTTATTATAGCTCTACCCTGCCTTCGCCATAATCACTAATAGGGCTTTCAATTTATTAATTGGTGTGCTACTTTCTAAATAATATACTTTAAAAAACTAATCCATATATTTTCTATTTCCAACAGTGGACCAGCATTTATACTTTCAAGATACCTATGTTTTCTATCAATTTTCATCTGATGAATGTAGCTACTTGTACTGTGAATTTGAAAGAGAAGAAGAATGGCAAAATGGTGTCAAACTTTTATTGCAGTTTGTGCCTCTTATTCCTGCTAGAACTGGCATTTGTGAAATGTAAGTAGATGATATTTTGTTCTGTTGTAAAATTATTCTCGATTAGAGCATATTTAGTGAGTCTAGGAATTTCATTATGCCCTTGAAGTTCCCCATCTCAGTAAGCGGTTATGTTATCATTTCTCAGATGCAAGTTCAGAAAAGCAAAATCAATTGCTGAAAGTTAAATCTAGCTAATAAGTGGCTGAACTGGCATGCAGATCCCAGAACTCCATACCTCACCAGCTGCACCATAAGATTTCTAATTTAATCATTGCTATATGAGTAGATGATCTAAGTTAGGAATAGACATGATTGGCTAAAGTTGGAATGAAATAATAACTCACATCTTATCCATTATCAAGTCATGATTTTCCAAAGAAAGAACTCAACAGACATTTCTGAAAATAATTTAGATGTAGCATTTGGCAAATTAAAACACATGAATCATTATCACATGAAGATACTGAATCACCATATGATTAAAATGAATTAAAATTAATCAGAGAAGATCTGGGAAAAAAATTTGAGTCATGACATGGTGATTCTGCCTGTTAAACTGTCCTGTTAAGGACAAGTTTATTTGGGTATAATGAATTGCAGGTTAAAATTTCAGTTAATAAATTTTATATATTTAGTTTTCAAAATGCATTCCTATACTGTTGACTCTGAGTTCTCTGGGATTTGTAGGGTAAGTGGTATTATCACCACCTCCTGGGTAAGAAAGTAGTTTCACAGAAAAGCATTTACAACCATAATAAAGATAAGTTGCTCTGGTTAGTTAAAAGATGGCAGTTAATACTGAACAGTTAAGAGAGGCTTTTAGAAAATAAATTTGTGAGAATATTAACAAGATACTGTGATGATAATAAAAGTTGGATTGTAGAGAACACGTTTTGTGTCAGAAACCTTCCTAACTGCTTTATATTTATTATTTCATCTTCAGATGAACTCTATAATGTAGTATTAGCCCTAGTTTGTAAGTAAGGAAACTGAGGCATAACAGGCACGTACTGTGCAAGGTCATGCAAAAGTTGAGTTAGAATGTTAGGGCTTGAGTTCATGTCTGTTTGATTCTAAAGCCCTTGCTTAACTGCACACTATTAGAATGTGCTCCCAGGAGTTATGGAGGTCATGCTAGCTTCCATTTCTCAGAGGTTAAAAACAGAAGCTATTAATATAAAAACATTAGGCTAACTCTGAAGTGGCTATGAATTCAACACCACCACCATGACCACTGTTTATGGAGGACCTCACAGTGGGAAAGCAAAATTCAAATGTAAATCATCACTCAATGTAAGTGTAGTAATTGTTCTTTAGTATAATAGACTTTTAATATAGGTCAGAAATATCCTAAGAAAAGTCAAGGAGCATTTCAATAAACTTTAACAAGCTGTTTAAAAAGAGTACTGTGCTTTATAGAACAGAGGTAGCTGTGACTTGCTTTTGACTCTGTGGGACTAGTATTCTTTAGCAGCTCTTCTTAACTACTTCCTGCCCTGATCTCAAGATGGAATTGTGTGCAATGCATCACATTACATTGCTGTGAAACCCAGTTTGATAGAGAAACTGAAATAAAATTTCAAACAGAACTCATGATTTAGCTCCACTGCTTTCTCTCCACTTAGAAAGCAGATTGGAATGCCAGTGAGGGAGATGGTCATGTTACAAGTTTATCCTAAGTTCTAAACAAGAAAATATTTTAAAATTATGTGTCCTTACTAGGCATTCCAGATTATACCCAATCTTTTATCACAGTGATCATTTGAACACAAATATCAGGCCTCTGAGGTTGAGAATCACTGGAGCAGATCTTACATAGCAACAAACTTTTCTGTGATAGTGAGCATTTCCATTTAGGAATGGGCATGGTAATTCCTCTGGGAAAATTGTTCTTAGAAAACAGTGGATTTGTGGGCCCTCCATGGTGGCATAGCAGGTTAGGACGCAGCACTGCAAGTTGGCTGCAGTTGCTTCACCTGTGGGAGTTCAATCCCTCACTTCGAAGGTGATCCACATGGTGCAGCAGACCTCTCCTGTCTCACTTGCTGCACCCCTTGGCAATGTACTTCGATCTTCCTGTTCTGCTCCCCACCCTGCCTCTGGTGAATCTGCTCACCCCCTGCATCTCTGGCCTGTACCCCACTTTTGTATGCATAAATAAATAAATCTTTAAAAAAAAAAACAGTGGATTTGTCTGTACTGTGTTAATAAGTACTGAAATGAAAAGATAAAGTTGTGGAACCCCTCCAAGTCTGTCTGGAGAGAAAGAATAAGTATATAAGTTTATAAGTAAACTTGTAAGCTATGGTAGGATGTGTTTGGTTGTATTTTGGAAAGCCAAGGTTTAGGTTACCCAGGCGTGGAATAAACTAGTCAGAGAAAAGATGCCCAAGGGCATTGTTCTCTCTCAGTTGTGCTGTTAATTCTTGTGTGGTTCCCATGCATCGATTTCATTGCTGCTTCTCTAATTTGGTGGTCTCCATTCTGCCCCCATCACGCCACCTTTTAGTCTCTGGTGCCAGTGTGACATTCTTCTCAGTTTCCTTCCTCTTTTCTTGTTTAGGCACATTCTACCCACTCCTCAAGGGGGAGCTCAAGTCCTACCATAACTGAAAAACTTCCACAATGGTTGCAATTCATGTTAGTCTTGCTTTAGTAACTTAGTGGTCTTGCTGTTTATATATACAAAAAAAAATTTCCACCCTTCTATGTCGTTTTTAGCACTATGTTACTCATACTTGTCCATTCTACTTAAGTGCCCTGAGCGAATGAATCTAAGTGCTTAGATTCATTAACTCAAGTTGTCCAGTTAGGAACTGAACACTCAGTCTGTGAATATAGTTTTTTTGACATTTGAAGATTACTAGGGTCTGCCAATGCCATTTTCCATGAGGACCCTAGAACTTGCAGTCTCCCCTATAGATCTCTTTAAGGTATGTGACTAAGCCACTTAATGTCTTTATGTAAACACAGTCATGTTTTGGACAGATACATTTTTTTAAAAGAGAAAAAGTGGATTCCTTTTTTTTCATTTAAAAAAAATGTTTAAAGCAAGCTGCTGCAGGTTTTTAGGGTAATTTGAGGGAACATAAGTCTTGTTCTATACAGAGTAACTTGCTATAGAAAGTGAGTAGGTAATTCGAAAGAAGTGAGTAAAGCAGTTGTCAAAAGTGCTGCCTTTGGGGGAAATATTAACAGTCATGGTATCTTTCAAATGGAAAGCCAGTCGAGTATCCAGAATGCACTTTTTTCCTAAGTTTTTTTTCTTTCTTTCTTTTTTTTTTGGTCGGGATGGTGCTACAGCAGTTAGCAATGCTGAAATAACAGTATAGGAAAAGACAGCCTAAAATTCTTTCAGGACAAGTGAGATGCTTCTGTAACACTAACTCATTTGAGAATTTAGTCTGTGAGAAAGCTTAGACATTTCAGTGTAACTGTTATTCCTGCTGCTCCCAGCCTACCAGAGTTGGGAATTGGAGTGTTCTGGTTCATAGAACCATAGATAGACTGTGAACTTGAATACATGAAGCTATATTCTACCATTACAGGGCAGTTTGTATTAACACTGTTATTAAGACTTTTTGGGGATTGCTAAAATTTAACTCATGTTCCACTCATCCCTGTAAAGAAAAATGTAACTTCTTCATTTTTTTCTAAGTTGTCCATGTGAGCCTTTATCTGGAGCATCATCAAAAAGAAAAAATGCCCCATATTTTTAGTCTAGTTCAGTAAAATTATTCTAATAAAGTCATTTAAAAAGTCCCTCCCTTTAGTTATTTATTTGGCATATTTTAGTAAAGAGGTACAGTCTCTGTGCTTCCATCACACCACCTTTTAGTCTCTGGTGCCAGTGTGATTCAGTATATAGCCTCTGGGTCCATGGTGGGTGTGTGGACCTTGACCTGGCTCTCCTGTTAGAGTAGGCCCTTTTCGATCCTAACTAATTTTGCCTAGCCTGTCAGGAGGGCTATTGGCATTGCTGAAGCTCCTGAGGTCACGCTGTAGCTTCCAGAGATGTCCCATTCTTGACCGTCTCCCTTTTACTCCATCCTGACCCTTAACAGCATTTTTTTTTAACCTTATGCCTGTTCATTGCTGTTACTGTCATTGAATAGAGAACATAATTAGATGACATGTTCACATTCAGATTCCTCACATTAGGGAAAATTCAGTCTTGTAAGTTAAGGTGAACTTCTTGGCATTTGTGATTTTTATGCTCCAGATAGATAGGAGGTTTCATGAGACAGCTTTTAGGAATGAAGTTGGGAGGGCTGATGGCATGTTGAGATGATACAGTGCAGGGCAACTTGATGTTTTGGGTCAGTGGTTCACAATCAGTAGAACTCAGGCTTTGAAAGCAGGGGATGGGGGTGAAGCTCAAACTGATTGGAAGGGGCCTGCAAATCCATGGGGAAGCTAAATGTTTTCTTTACATTGAATAGAAAGAATGATTTACATATACAGAGAAACAGTAAATAAAGTATAATTTAACTGTTACATGACTTCACAGTGGTTCTCAACCACATAGTTTTAAAAAAGTAAAGACGTATAATCTGAGATCTGCTTAATGAGGTTTGGGGTTGAGAGGTGATAATGTGGCTATCAGTATTTTTTATAAGGTTACAAGGTAATGCTAATGCTCACCAAGGTTGAGATCTCCTGTAATATAGGTGAACCTCACAGAGAGAGCTCTGTTGAGTGATAGAAAAAGTTAAATAAAGACCTCAAAATAGTATGTAAAGAAGCCAGATTAATGTCCCATGACTTGCAAATTTTACCGAGCACAGTATCTAATGTCACTTGGTTAACACTTCTGAAATTCCATATAGTGTAGCTCCATAAGCATTTGTATTTGAAAGGAATTTCTTCAATAACTGAATTTACTCCTCTTAATTTTAGGTAAGGAAAAGGGGCAAGGATCTAGGAAAAGACAACAACTTGTCACCTATACTCTATTGAGAGATTTATTGAACAGGCATTTACTGAACATCAGGTTTGTGTAAAGTACTGTGTTTGAC